GCATCGCATGCAGTGCATCCTTTTTAATTTTCTTCCAGGAAAGTCTTTGGGTATTTTTTTTTTAATACTGTTTTAACAAATATTCATTTTCACGGAATGCAAATATTCCATAAGCGATGGAGAACTGGAAAAGCGATCCAAATATAAATTATACCCTTTCTCACATAAGTCGTTCAATAGTGTTTTCACTACTCTTTCTCCATAATATCCGTTGTTGCTTAACATTTGTCTTTCCTGCAGTAAATTAAAAAATTCCTAAGTATACTTATTCGGTAACTGATTCTCATAATTTATATATATTTTTATCCCGTAATGTAATCTTTTGGAGAAAACATACTGACAAAAGCCAAGGCTTTCTTTCCAAGCAAAAGTTCAAGGAATAATCATGATTAGATCAAGGAATGATCTCATTTTCTACAGCATTTAGTTCTTTAAAACTGTTGGTTTTAGTAGGGGTGTCAGTCACTTCTACACTTGACACGTCTTCCCGAAAAGTTTTTATAATATTCCTCAATTATATATTATGTCTATCCCGATGTTTGTTATATCCCAATTTTTTATTTTTTGTAATGGATTTCACTTAATATTAAAAATTAATTCCATATATTAAAAACGTGTAAAATACGAGTAGAAACTATATCCTCTTTCCGAGCCTCAGAGCATGTATAAAATACTATTCCATAATATCCGTTTCTTTGATTTTCGGAGGAGATGTAATGTAACAAAATACGATTCCTTCTGTGGTTCGATTATGATAATTTTCGCGCCATATTTGTTCCACTTTTCACTCCTGAATCCTACCCTGTTTACATTTTGCGCGCAAAAAGTAATATCTTAGCACAATTTTGCCAGCGTTCGTTAGTGAATATTTGAATAAAATAAGAGATACGTTTTCACTTTCTTTTAAGGTGTGGAAATGCACCTCTCTTGGCTTCGCCCATGTTAAAAATTTAAAATATTTTTATTGATGGTTTGTCGCAGAATAACAATAAAAGACGGCTTAATTGATTAGAACAAAAATATAAAAACTAACCTCTTTCAAGCCTAATATATGCGTAATTATAATAGGGGACAGGAAATTTGCAAATTAATATACAGATTCTTTAAAAGAGCAAGTTTCACAAAAATTCGAAAAGAAGAGAATAGCAGAGAGATCATTTCAGATGCGGAGGTTTGGAGAGATATTATGTCAGAACGTAAGATATTATATGAGGATTTCGTTCATGTGAGGACGATGTTTCGGTTTGTGTGGATCAGGTTGACGTTGATATCTTGATCAAAGTGTTAAATGAATAAATAAACAGATATATATATATATATATATATATATATAATTTATTTCCTAAACAGTATTGATTAATTGATTATATTATCTCCTAAGTTTAATTAAAGTAGAATTATTTTAAAAGTGTGCATCCATACTGGTAAGTTATATTTTGAAAGATGTTTTGAAGTAATTTGAAAGCAAAATGTTAATAATGTTTTAACGGGGACTGGAGTTAAATCATCACGAAGAATAATTTCAATTGTAAAAGGAAAAATTAATCAACATGTAATCATTGTCCATTGATCGGAAATTAGTTGACTTTTCAGGGGAACAAACCAACTCCCGTTCAATGAACAATAATTGATAAAAATACGTAAATAAGAAAGTGTTTCGTCTTTACTCGAGTTATAAGTTAAAGCCAAACCGGCAATTCTAGTCAGGCCAAATATTTCCGCGAATAGTAGGAATTATGAACCAATGCTGATACTCAAAGAACTTATTCTCATGAAGCATTTTAGTCAATTCAATTTGGAGTAAAAATCAATTACTGTAGAGAAATCCTGTAAAACTCGAGTAACCGTCCTCGACACTTTCATCTTTATGCATTTGAGTACTATATTATTTGTAGAAATTAAACATTGGAAATTGTCATTATGAAATCGAATTCAAAGTAAAGTTGAAATAAACATAGAAGATTATAAAAAAGATAAATAATGCAAACTTTGTAAAAACAAATCAAAGAAGTAATATAAAAATAATATAGAAAATAATATAAATAAGAATCAGTGAATGTACATGAAGATATAAAGGCCAGAAAAGGTAACTTAATACATAAGTAAGTAACTTACATTCTTTCTAGTGGGGGAGTTGGCAAAGTGTTTCTCTTCGTGTCTGATTCAGAAGTGTAGGGTATATATATATATATATATATATATATATGTGTGTGTGTGTGGTGTGTGTAAGATATAACAAAATACGATAGCTGCTTAAAAAAAATAATTGGCGACCTCAAAATTAACATTCTAGATTTAGTGATCTCCCCTGAATTCTCTTCTCCCAAATTCGAGATCTTTTTATGTTATGTTACGCTACTGGAAAAGGGCAACTAAAATTAATGTTAACTAATCACAGACTAGCATTGATTTTGTATAAATACCCTGGCGAATTAATTGCGTCATTCTTCTTCCCTTCCCTTAACTGCTGCTCTTTCAGCATCTCGTCGCTTTACCTTTGCTTAACTGCCTTCGTCATTTCTTGTTAAAAACCAATGTACATAGAAATTTATGATATTTAATTATGATTGAATAAGTGTCTGCCCAAGTAATTTGAATATTTGGGAAAATAAAGATAGGTGGTTTGTCGAAATTCAGTTTTGTTGTCTTCATCTGTATGCTTTAACCACAACCATGACGCACATCGAAAGCTGTTCAGAGTTCCAGCGTTCGACTATGCTTCGAAATCATGACATATATACATATGTAAGATAAAAAAAAGTGTAAAAATAAATTATAATTTAAATTAGTAGTAGCCACTTAATGCTTAATTTTAATTTGTATTTTCCCCTTTCTATTCTAAAAATAGTAATACCTTTTTCTGCACTGCTTCATTTCGGGACTAATCCATGTCACACGACCCTTCAATAACGCTGGTGATGTGAATGGAACTAAAGCTCAGATAGCCAATAATAATTTTACAGCAGTATCAATTATCCAATCAAACTCAATGAGAACTGAAACTAACTCAATCTGAATTAAGATTTCATCCTTAACACAACTTACTTGCTTTCTGTACCTCAGCCTACCTGGACTGCTGCTAGCTGCTCTCTTTTTGCTGCAAAGCTATCCAAAATGTAAATATTCTTGAAAAGGCACGAGTAGTGTGCCAAATTGTTTGTGACCGCAAATGTGTTTACCCCCCCCCCCCAAATTTAATATCTAATCTGCCTCGGCTGCCAGTTATGCTTTGGTACATGCTTTTGTGGTGTAACTTTTAGCATGTCCGACAAGTAGTTGGAAGATCATTGATTCAAATCCCAGCGAGGACATAGCTGGTTTTCCACGTTTCTTGCTCTGAAAAAGCCCATACTGAATGGTGCCCAGATTTAAAATGAAATTAAAGTACGGTAGTTGATCACCACTTGGATTTGATCGACTAAATCTCAATCTCTTCCCAGTCGCTCTTTAAGTGAGAGGGAATATCACATTATCACATTGCTTCCATGCGTGCTCTTGTGGTTTAACTGGAGACATGTCCAGCTAGCAGTTAGGAGATCCATGTTTCAAATCTCGACGAGAGTATACTTGATTATTTACGTTTCTTGCTCTAGAAAGCAGGGGAATTTGAGCTGAAGATGATGGTGGCATAGAGAGAGGAACCACTTCACACTGCTGCAAAAGGGATGGGCTATCTACATAAGCTAAGATGATATTTTGGAGGGCAAAATAGCACAAATAACAAAATTTTTCTGTCTTAATAGAAGTGTAGATTTTTCAAGATTTCAAAAATTTTAACTGCAGGAAACAAATATTTCAGCTTATTTCAGTAAATTATAATAGTATTGAAATGCATAAATTTTTCAATAAATTATGTTACTAATCTTATAGCAGTGTTTTTTCATTACTGATTTCTGTAATTTATTATTACTTTATTTTTGGTAGTAACTGTAATATTGAGAGTATTATTATAAGTAGTATAATAATAAATTACTGCTTCCTTAGTCATCCGAAGGAACTGACTTGATGTAAAAAGAAGAGAGGGACAAAATTAAAATGTAAATGAAATAATAATGAGCAACGGAAAATGAAATGAAATAATAATGATGAAAAATTAAAGGAGGCCGCAGTTTTGAGATAGGCATCAATGCATTGAAATGGCTCTGATTTTTGCCTGTCATCAGAATTGTATACATTAAAAAAAAAGTAGAGATCTTTTCTGATTTACAAGAAAGTATTTTAATGCAGTGATAGAAATACTGTGTAAAAAACTGAAGTGCTAGTTATAAGAGAGTTTTCTGAACATATTAAGGATTAGTTTATTTGGATTTCTGCGAAAAAACATGAAGGCTTTCTGTTCTAGAGAAGGAATATCTTTATGGAGGTCATTTTAAGGGACACTGTCTCATATTCACGGTAGAGCAGATTAGACTGCTTAGTAAACTATGTAAAGATATAAAATATCAGTGCTATAATTTTTTTTCTATAGATATGCACCCGTGTTTTGGCTTCTGATTTATTTACAATTGCAAAAATTATTTAGTCTATGCACTGTAATGGAAGTTCCACTAGTACAAATTTTAATAGTTTTGTGATTTTTATCTTTATTTTTATAAGATAGAAGTGATATTTTTATATTGAAAAAACTTGGATGAGTAATTTCCAATAAATAATTTAGTAATTTTGCATTCATACATGCAAAATAAGCTAAGTGTAAATGACAGCCTTTCATTATTGATGAACTGGTTATATAAGATATGTTAGTGTATGTAATTTAGATTTATGTCGTTTAAATATTACATGAGGCTTTCCCTACTTACCTTATCAAACATATATATATATATATATTTTAGAAAGTCTTCCAGCTTTAGTTTAAATTATTTCAGACTTTTGAAAACAAAGATTTGAAACAAACTGTGTAGTAGTACTGAATGAACATTTCAATTCTAACGTTGTTTCCTTTAACATTGTGAATTAAATTTACTTTTACTCAATAATTAGTTCTTTTTTGATAATTTTAGGAGCAAAATGCTACCAAATGTCAATTAGAGCTGGAGATATCTTGCGTTTAAATCAATTAGAAAAGGTAAGTAATACAAAAAGAAGTGTGTGCTACGAGATTTAGAATTTTATGTGATGATTTTCAAAAAATAAATTCTTTCAAATGGTGTAAATGTTTTTTATCATCACCTTACAATTACTTTTGAATCTACAATTTATTCAATTCCCTTTGCTGACAGGTCCTTAATTTTTTTCATTAATGGTCTTTAAAAGTACGTAATTTCAATGTGCAGAAATGTGTATGAACCCTGAATTTGATTTCCGTTTTTCTTAAGGTTTTAGCTGAAAAAAAACCAAAAGTTGCATTTGTTTGTCATGGAGACAGCAGTAGTGGTGTTCTTCAGCCACTGGATGGATTAAAGAAATTGATGGAAAAGTAATTTTTTTTTCTTGTTAGTTTAATATCTTTAATTACACTGAGTATTTATTCCGTTTTATTGAATGCACTCCTTTTAAGGAAGTGATTTGCTTTTGTAATCATTTAGTGCCACTGAAATTGTTTAATTGGTCAGCGGCTCTTATTTGAATTAGTTAGCCTATTGAATTAGAAGAAAACAGGAAGTTAAGCAGCTTTGCATATGACTTGTTAGTTGCTGCGAAATATAGTGGTTTCTGCATTATAAAAGCTACCAATAATATAAGTTTTCTTGTAGCAACAATTTCTAGTGTATACTGAGAATGCTGCAACACAAAATTATAAAAGACTGCCTTTCAGTGAGAGGGTCAGTTAGTAAAGGATATGATTGTATGTGATAGTCAGTAAAAAATGCAATAAAATCATGACACAAGATAGTAGAACGGTAAGTAACATATTTGAATGTATTTATTGCTACATGTTATTACGCAATGTTTAATGTACGTAATAACATGTAGCAATGTTAATTTGTTGTCAATATCTTCTATGGCTAACAATTTTATAGCCAAACTCAAGAAATTATGGCTTCAGATTGTGCATAGTTATGATCGTTGGATTGCTGATAATTAGAAAAGTTAGAGTGAGTTCGAGTGGAAGAGGCAAAGGTTGACATAAACTGAAAAGAAATGAACCCATCCTCTGTGGCATCAAAATTGCAACTAGTTAGCAGCAATTCAGTCACCTTGCAGAAATATTTTCAATAGGATATACAGATACCACTGGAATAATTCCTGAATGCTGCAGCTTATGCTTTTGCTGCCTAAGTCGATTATTTCATTGCCACTCTGTTCTTTCTGGGACAGACATCTCCAGCAGGCTAGTATTATATTTTGCAAGGTTGATTCGGTTTCAAAATGGTTCTAATGTCATGTCAGAGCATTTGGCTTCTTTGAATACCATCAGATCAGTATCTGAATATTAATCCCATCAATCTTTGGCTTAGGCTTTGTTAGGTATTTTATGATAGCAATGCATTCAAATATTACTTACCTAAAGAATGGTGCATTCAAAGAAAATTTTCAAAGGAAACTAACTAATAAAAGTGAGGTTGTAGAGTTCCTCACTTTTATTCTACTAAATTAAATGTTGTGGAACCAAGTGAATCGTTAAGCGAATTATTGCATAGTTCAAATAACAGAAATCGTAAACTCGATAAGGGTCAATTACCCTTTAGTCATTCAAAAATAAGATGGAGAATCGGCCCCTTTTTCGGTTTTACAACAAAGACGCACTCGGGCTTGAACTCAAAAATAAGAAACAAGAACTAAGAGATTTAGCTAAAGTTAAAACAAATCTAACCTAGTTGGCCCTTAGTAGGAAACTAGTCGGCGCATTATCAAAAGGCAAATAAATATACTGCCGAGAGTAACAGTAGTTAGAGAGACATAGCCCAAAAGCAAACGCGCGCTGCTTAGGATTCCTAGCTCTCTCTCACGAAGTAAGTAGAACTTTTCTTTAATACTGTTTCTTACTCATTTGAATTCAACGTGATTCTAAAAACTCATTCTGGTAGGGAGTTGTACAGCTCCTTACCAGAATGTTAAGTTGAAACGAGGAACGATAGGAAAGGTTAACTAAATTAAAATAACTGTTATAAAATTAAAATATAACCTTACATATTTATACTTTTAAGAAACTCAAAGATCCCATGCAGCCAGCCCATTCATTTGCTGAAAACAGAAATGAAAATAAGCTGTCAGTATTCTATGTCTTAGCTACTTGCCCTGTTAGTAAACATCAATCCTTGAGATCAGTGCTAAAAGGCCTTTTTGCTCAGAAAATGAGCTGTGTCTAATATATAGCTATAACATTCTACTAACATTATAGAGTCTATTAGGTTTATCTCAGAGTAGGAAACATGAAAAAAATGAGCCCTCGCCTGGATTAGAAGTTCTGGTCTCCTGATTACCAGTTGGGCATGTTTCCAATTACGCTTCAAAGGCATGCGGTGAGGAGGGAGATAATACTTTGTATATATAGCTGTAGAAACATTCCAGAGATTTAAGAATACAAATTAACAAATATATTTAGACTGTTATTGTATTTTTGTGGGAGAGAGGGAGGTAGTATAATGTTAGGAGGTTGTGCCTTATAAAGGCATTCAGTATACATTGAGTAATTCTTTGTCTTGAGTTTTTACTCTAACTATATATTATAGGCATTATCTTCATTTACGCTCATTACGAATTTTTTTCCCATCATCATATGCTCATTTCTCTCCTTCAGACTTATTGTTTCTGCTGCCAATTAACCCTGCTTTGGTTCGTTAATCACATATTGCTTTGAGGAGGGATAGTGATATTCTTGTTAGCTACTACTGTTACATATTACAATAGCATACTTCGTTAAATGGCATCTATGAGAGTTGTACTGAGTATTACTATGTGTTATTTAGATGTTACTGTGAGTAAACCTTTATAATAGCGTTGAGAAAGCATGATTTTAGAGACACAGCCTCAGAACGCAAGTTGAGTTACTCTTCCTGTATAGTTAGTGGAGCTTGAATAAGTCTTCTTCGCAAGATCTTTACATAATTCTCCGGCTTTCTTTGGCTTGTCTTTAGAGGAGCGTGTCTTTGAGAATTATTTTCTCGAACCGCATTTATAAACATTCACTAAGTTCAGCATTTATTCGCTTTCGGCTGAAGGCGTCTGTAGTATGCCATGGTTTCTCCTATCGATGTGGCTGGATGTAAGGTTTTGAAGATGGAGTCCTATTGATTTGCTGCGATATCATTTCACACTGCATTTTATACATACTTCACAAGAATTTTTCATCTTGTGGCGAGTAATGGGATGGAAAGTCTGAGACGAGCATTAATTATAGTAGATGCAGATGGGGTAAATTCCGGAAACTTCTTTCCTAATCACTATAGCTCTTTTTCAATATCGTTTTGCAGAAATTTCTTCACTAATAGAAGAAACATTTACGTTAACTGAAGCAGTTTCTTGATTAAGTGATGTTTATGCTTTCTTGATTTCTTCATTAGTGAATATCTGTCCGCTTTTCAAATTTTTCTATATAGCTTGGGCTTTCATGTTTGTGGCATATACAACCTCATTTTCTACAGTAGGAATGCTTTATTTTGTGCCTGAAATGGAAGTCGTTGCTTCAATACTCGCTTCTGTTAATTCTTCATTGTTGTTTTTATTTTGCTGTACTAATTTACTGAGTTCAGCTTTGTTTTCATTTCAGCAAATATATCCACAATCACTTTGAACTGCGCTTCCGTCTTTTTCGTTATGAGGCTTCAAAGAGAACCTCACTGATACTATTGCTACGTATTTTGTAAAGATCTCCTTCAGTAACTGCAGCAAATGAAGAGGTGTGGGGATAATAGTTTTACAAATAAAAAAGCAGATTAAAAATAGCTCAAGGATGCCAAACAAAATGCTGAAATTCTCTTTAACATAAGATGAATCTCACAGGTTGCAAAATTGTCCAGAAAGTAGTTGATTAAATCACTGGATAATCAATAACTAACACAACAGTATACAACAGACATGCATTTTTTAATGAGTTTTGAATGCATTTTTTTAATGAGTTTTACGATTTATATTGAAAAATATGGATGAAACTCGTAAAGCGAAAGTTAAGCTCAGGATTATGCACGCTGTGTATGATCTTGCAGATGATTGATCCCATCCAATATTTTTCATTTTATTGTGAAAATTCTTTAAAAAATGCATGATTGCAAAAATTTTATTTTTTCTGTGTAAATTATTATTATTATTTTCTTTCTGTCTATAAGTTTTTTAAAATTATTGCTATAATTTTTTTCCTGTTTAATTATTTTTGTATTTAAGAATAAATTTATTGAAAAAAGCTGGAAATATTGCATTGCTATTTGGCTTCAAATGCTGATTTTCTTTCCAAACAAACTTCATGAATTAATTTTACTAAAACATCAAATCAATATCAAGAATCTGCTGGTTTTTTTTAACAGTAAAAATATTACTTTAAAGAAAAAAGAAAAAATTAGTTTCACTTATTTAAGAATAGTCACAATAGTCAATTCAATGGTGTAAGCTTTGTATAAGTAATAAAAGATTAATCTTTTGAGAAAATGCTCTTATGAATTCCAAGAAGGAAAAAATGTAGTGAAATATCCTTAAAACAGTCAAGAGTGACAGTTTTGTCTCCTGTTGAAGTTCTGTTCTGTTTTTTAATTACGTGCTCCATGAAAGGAATTTACTTTTAATGAAACTGAATAGCACACATAATTCGTAACATGGACTATAATTAATGAATAGTATTTATTATTATTATCCACCCTTTATTACTATCATTTGAATGGAATTTTGATCATTAAATTCATGCTATTTCTCTGGTAGAAATTCCTGGATAAGGTATAAATGTTTATAATTTTTGATGTATTTGAAGACTTGGGTACCTAAAATTTGTCAATGTGAAAATTACTTTTGAGATTTGTTCGTAAATAGAAATGACAGCATATGTTGAAATTAAATTCAGGGGTGCGGCTTATACATGCAAATTATTAGAAATAGGTGGCATACAAACAGCTGGCCACACAGCAAAATGTATTTAATGATTGAGCATAAAATACATTGTTGGGTTGAACGTTTCCTAGTATTGTACTAGTTGTGGTTGCTGGTCATTGGTGACCAGTTGTAGGGATACTAGTTCTAGTGATAATTGATACTTGGTAGTGCAGCAACAACTACTATAGTGATCGACAGAGACAGTGAATAAGGAGTGCTAAGCACACATGTTTCACTTGTCACAGAAACATGTTCCTTTTGATTGAAAATTTAAAAAATACAATTTATATAATGTATGGTAAGTACTGTTTTTAGCTTAACTGCTTTCACACCTTGCAAAATAGAAAAATATTATATACAGGTTATCTTGTTAGTTATCCTCAAGATTTTTTTTAATTAGGCATATTTAGAATATCGTATTTCTCCTAAGAGAAATTATATATAAAAATTGAAGAAGGTTTTATATATATAAATATGCATGTGCATGTTTATAGTATAGAGAGTACTACAGTACAATGCAGAAATATTCCATACTGCTTTGCACAGAAATATATGTTCCAACCAAGTATTGGTCTTTCAAAAAAATATCTCTCGACCATTTCGTTCTTTTTCGTTTTTTACCTTCTACCGTTGCCTCTTGGCTAATGAGAAGTGCAGATAAAAGATCATTCTGTTGAGCCAGTGAAACTTTATGGCGAGCTGAAAAAGCCGTGAAACAACGAAAAAAACAAGCAGAGCGAACGCGGGAAATCAATCGAGCGGGAAAGTTGTAGACATTCCACGCATGCGCAAATTTAGCTTCTCTCATTGGCCACGGCTTACACCTCGTTCTCGCAGGTGTGAACAGGTCTTCCGTATTTTATGCCCTTATGACTATGCCTCTATGCGCTTTATTCCCACGTCTGAACGCACCTTTATAGTCGCCGTGTTAATAGTCGACGCTGCTGCAAACGTCAGCGCACCGTACGAGCGGATACTGGGCGTGCTGCAAGCATTCCTATTTCCTGTCTAATGGTCCGTGATGTGATTGTACTGTTTTGCCAGGCTGACCTCACAATATGTCATTTTTCTCGGGCGTTGAGATCCTACATGCTGTTTAGTATGACCCTCAGCAACCCACTGATTCCATATTCGCATGACAGTGGTTGGATGTCGACCTGCAATTAATTACTAATTAACAGCCATGGTTTCAGGCCAAAAGCGTTCAAATATTGGCTGAAGCTTTTTATAAGCTATATGCCAATTTGTACTGTCAGTTCTTGGTCTTCAGTCCCGTTTAGCTATACCAGCACTACTACTACTACACTCCCGTTAGTTCGTTATTTTATGACCACCTTGTATTTCACGTTTGATAAAATCAGACTACTACAATATTAGTTTTTTCTTAATTAGCATTTGTTGATTATATGAAAATGTTCAGAATGTAAACTTTTACTGCGATATCCGTGCAAAATTGTAATAGTTTGTTTATGGCATCTGCGCGGTTTTGAATGAAGAAATTTACTTGTAAATGAAAGCTTCATTTCGCGCCTTTCTTTAATACTATGTCTAGCACATTTTATTTTAAACTGCTAAAGTAACTAAATTTATTTTTATTAAATTTACGTAAAATACTGAATAATAATAAAAATACTGTTTGCACTTAATATTCAAAATTTTACAGATGTGCTTGTTTGCTGATTGTTGACTGTGTAGCATCACTTGGTGCTGCTCCACTTTTCATGGATAAAAGTGGTATGTGTGATAGACAGTTTTTGTTATCAATTATTAGTCAAATAATTTTACAATTCTAGGTAGTAATTCTTTTTAAATAATTTTACAATTCTAGGTAGTAATTCTTTTTAAATAATTTTAAGATTCATTATCATTAATAAAAATATCTTTTAGGTATAGATGTACTCTACAGTGGATCTCAGAAGATTTTAAACGCACCTCCTGGTTTGTCACCAATTAGTTTCAGTTCTAAAGCAGTGTAAGTAACATTAAAAACATATTCCAATAAAAAGTATGCGAAACCCTTGGAGTTCCAACTCCGCTGAATTATAAGGGACCTTTATCGCCATGCATTTTTCAAAAACCAAACTCGCCTCTGCAGAATCAAAGAAAACTGAAACTTAAGTTTTCTAAATGAATTATATTTTATATAAGCTCATCAGAGAGAGAGAGAGGGGGGGAAGGAAGAAGATCGCTAATGGCTTAGCAGTAATATACAATTTAGCAACAACCATGGAGTTGTGGGTTGGAATCATGAAACAAATTTTTAATTTTATCGTCGTTATTGTTTAATTTTTTATAATCTATTCATGAAATATATTTTTAAAGAAATAACATTGAAAAGGAAATTATCTTTCTGTAGTTTAGAGAAAGAAAATAGAAAATTTAATTCCCCCCTTCCATTATCAGCATTTTGATGCCTTTTTCTACGGAGAACCTAATGCCATCAAGATTCTTTCTTTGATACATCACGAAAAGAGACTGCCTCATTTAACCAGTTTTTAAATATGTATAAGTTGTATTGTGTATTTTAATTGACGAGTTATTTCATCAGTTGAATCTTTCTCGTATTTCTACTATTTGTGTACTTTAACAGAAAATGTTAGCTAAATGAGTTTAAATAACGCATAAGAATATAAATTCTTGAAATGTGACGATTTTTTCCTCCTCTTGATGTGCTACCTATTGTTGAGTGAATTCTGTACTTTTAGCTGCGTGAAAAGAGATGAGTTATTTTAGAAGTTAGGTTCTTAGGCTTTAATACTTTGATATGAAAATATCGAATTATTATTGTATTAGCAAAACTGCAAGCAGAGGAATTTTAGCTTGTTTTGTAAACATCATGTTTAAGTAGTAATAAATAATTTATTTTTTCTATACTTGTTATCAGTTGTGTTTTAGAACTTTATTAGTTGTCTTTGGGTTGGAATTACGGCCTGAGGGGTCACAGGGCACGGGAGTTACAACATTTTTACGTACGAAACTCAGTACGATTCAGCGGGGCTGGCTTCTCGCGCTCATCCGTTGTTTTTACATAGTCCCGAGTGAGGTGCTTTGTGTCATGGTGGGCACTTCGTTTCTCGATAATATACAAGTTTTATAATGATAAGGCTATATTAAGAAACAATATTCCGGAATTACTTAAACCATGAACAAATTCAAGTATTTGCTGATATTCACTTTCTACCTTTAACTTACATTTGATCCATACGGCAAATCGTATTTCTATCAGTTACAATATTTATGGTCCTTGTTTAATGGAATACCAAATTTTTACTGATGGATCAGGTTATGAGGACGGGCTGGGTTTTTGTTTTATGTTATTTTGATACTGAGATCTATCACTGTAAATTGGGCCTTGAAAAATATAACTGTGTTTATCAAGTCTATTCTGCTCCAGCTCCACTTTATGTTATATATACTACCTTGCAATTTCATATCCATCCTTAGCAATTGTCCAGCAATGTATTTGGTTTTAAGAAGTTAGAGTTTTATTGTTTCTGTTTTTTGTATATTATAAATTATCCTTTATTTCAGGGAAAAGATTAAAATGAGGAAAACAAAAGTTCCGTCGTTCTATATGGATGCTTTATTATTGGGAAATTATTGGAGATGTGATTCTGGCCCTATAACGTAAGCATTGTTTACTTTGTAAAAAATCTTCATGTGAATCCAGTTTATTAAAACTTAAGAACACTACTTGTGTAGTTTTCAAATTTGTAATGTTTCATTTTAAAGTGCTCTTTGAGCATGAACTTTGCTTAGTTGGTGAGAGTTTTGGGTTAAATTTTTCACTCAAGACTGAAGTAGACCTGGGCTCGTACAGCTTGAAGCAGATTATGAAATAACATAAATTTGCGTTAAACAAGTTAGAAGTTGTTAAGCTACTATATCAGAAGCATCGTCAAATACTCTAATTGTATTTTAATATATTTTATAGAAACTCTTAGTGGATTCTGGTATTTTATAAGGAAATTTACCAGGAGTGAATTGCTAGAGGTCACAATATACTGAACTTCCGATTGTACATGTGCATTATCTCTTTTACGGCTTATCCTGGCATCGTAGCACAGAAATTGCTCTAAACGCGATGAAAAATAACCGAGAATCGTGCTTTTTTTTTTTTTTTATGATTCTCGGTTCTCCCGCTACCACCATGATTGGAGCAATACACGTGTTGTTACTTATGCTCACTTATCTGACAGTAACATCAGCCCAAGCCCACGAAATTCTTCGTGGCAACGAGCGCAAGTTTACGCCTGCCGTTGGTAACAGCCTTGAGTACCATACAGGTGACAGTGCGATTTATTTCAGTCCCGCCCCCAATTTTGATGGAGAGCACAGTGGGGGAGACGAGCACAGTGGGTCTCCCACCCCTCTCCTCTACCACGAAACCACACGACAGGACTTTCGGCTCGCCGCATATTTAGAGTGCCACCATGCCACACCGACACTACACATTTACAAACATCCATGTCTTCTCTGGGATTCGAACACGGGCCCTTCGGCACAGCAGTCAGCAACGCTAACCACTATACCGGTTAGGCGTATTCCTGACAGAAGCAATACTGAAACCTTTGGTTGCAGTTTTAAATTTACTAGATTGAAGAACTGTTAATGCAAAAATGATTAGTGTTATGTGGCATTCTCACTCTTAGCGTCCCCATATCCGCCAGTAATGCGTTCGAAGACTTACCTCGAGTCGCATAATTCACAAGTGCTCATCAGTATCGGAACTGAGGGGTTTAAAAAATGGATCAATGAGCTTCTATTGCTCTTGTGACGCTGAATCTTTGAAACTGTGGATATGAGCGCATGGTTTTGTTTACATTTTATTTTATATTCGTTTCGCAGTTATATATGTATGGCGTATAAATTCTTCTGCCATTTTAGTAGAAAACCTCGTAGTGCTTTCATTTTATAAATTTATTTAATCGTTAACATTTTACTTTCGAGAAACTTATCACGCTCTGTAATTCGGATTAATAGTCGTGGCGTATTATCGCTTTTTATATCGAGAAACAAGCTACAATCAGCCTGGAATTGTATGCATTTACTAACACTTGTGCATTGCGAGAATTCAAGCGTATAATTTTTTTACTGAGCCGAGAATAACTGGAAGTGTTACAATGAATCTAGTATTTTCTTATCTCAATGCTTGCATTCCTTTGATTTTGAAAGTGTAAGATTCAAAATATATATTGTGAATGATCTGATTATACATATTGTTGACATTAGAAGTTACATACGAATAAATTAAAAATAGTTGTTGGGAATACGATAAATTCATTCTCTCTGAAGAACATTTCTTGTACAGGCAGTACATTTAAGAGTGAACAGTTATTAATATGAAATTTAACACACTAAATATGTAGGAATGCAAATTAGGAAAATCCACTTCTGTTGCACTAACTATTAACAATCTAAACATTTTGTGTCTACGTTTGAGTACTTTTAATGGTACTTACGTATTAACGCAACCCCCCTGGCGCAATTTCGTGATTTTTTTACGGATTGTTGTGAAACTGATAAATATTTTATAAACATGTCTTAAGAGATGTACAGCACAGCGTTTGGGTTTTGTTGATGCCGAGAAATTTGCATAGTTTTTAATTACAGCCAAGTTAAAATTTCTTTCGTGATTGGAATGTAACTGAAGAGGCACTCTGAACCTGGAAATACAATGCTATATCATTACCTTTGCTAGCGTGACAGTCTCTTGATCAGGAAAAATGATACGCTTCAGGCACTTGGTGAAGTAATCAATGAAAACGAGGATGTATTTGTTGCCATCAACAGTTCATGGCAGAAGTCCCAGGATGTCTAAGGCGATACGTTCAAAAGGCGCTCCTACATTGTAACGTTGCAGCTACCGTCGGCTGCGTTTCTTTGGTCCTTTCCGACTCGCACAGGCATCCCAAGATTGGCACCACCTTTGCACATCAGTTGTTGCATTACTCCAGTAGAAGTGTTCTCGAACTCTATGCAACGTCTTCATTATTCCGAAGTGGCCTCCTATTGGACTGCTATGTAATTCTTTAAGGACCCCATGATCCAGTATCTTGGAAGTATCAGCTGCCATCGGAATGCCTTTCCATCATCCTACTCGAACTTCCGGTACAAGACGCCGTTTCGAATATGGAGTGAGTCTCAGAGAGTCCAATATTGTTTTGTCGTAGACAATATAAATCAAAATGTCCTGCCAAGTAGGTTTCCTGATTGAAGACTCAAGTCAATTTTGAATTTAAAGTCATCGTCATCCAACTCGTCTTCTTTGACTTCTTCGTCACTCCATCAGTCTTGATCAGCCGATGTTGAAGTTGTAACTTGTCGTGCTACCGGATTAAGCAGCTGGTATTTCGTTTCAGCGCTGGCACAATAGCGTCAGCTTTCCGGGCAGGGTCTTCTAGAGAGGGCGTCACCGTTCCCATGTGATGACCTGTTTCGATAATGGAGATTTATTTCATATTCTGGGAGTCTCTGTATACATACAGCTGGCTATTTGGCCTTCGGGATTCTTAAAATTTAATAACAAAGTCAACGATGCATGATCCGTACTGAGAAGGAATTTTCTGCCGTAGAAATAATGATGGAAATGTTCTACGGCTTTAGCTATTGCAAACAACGTGTTACTGGTAGTACAGTAATTCCTCTCCGGTTTAGATAGATAACTTGCTCCAGTATGCTACGAAACGTTCTTGACCATTTTTTTTTTCCTTGGAGAAAACAGTACCGTCACTCTCGTTGCTCGCATAGGTGTCGAGAATAAATGGTTTATGGAGTTAAGGATACGTCAGGATTGTCGCAGATGTTAAAGCTTCCTGCCAGTTTGATAAAAACACCCTCACATTCTTTTGTACGCAAGAACTTTTGCCTGCTCTCTGTCAACTTGTGAAGGGGGTCTTGCGATGCAAAAAAAGTACTTCACAAATCTCCTATAGTAGGTGCAAAGCCCCCAAGAAACTTCTTAGTTGATGGGCCTTTTTTAGGGCGCATCAGTCTTTAACTACTGACACTTTTTCAGGATCTGTACATTCACCTTCGGCAGAGCTGACATATCCGAAGACTCTTCCTGTCTGAATGGTTTACATTTAACGGGACTTATCTTTAGATTGGCTTTTTTCACTTTCTGAAGCACCTTCCTAAGATTTTCTAAACGTTCTTCAAAACTCTTTTCGACGATGATAATGTCATCGAGGTATATCAGACAGGCTTCGTAGGAAAGATTTTCTCAACTCGATCTCCATGAGGTGTTCGAATGTTGCCGGCGTATTACATAATGCAAAAGGTATCACCTTGAACTGCCAAAGTCCTTGTCCGGTAGTAAAAGCCATCTTTTCGGTCATCAGGATGTATCTCTACCTGCCAAAATCCACTCTTTAAATCAAGCATCGAAAAATACACTTGCTTTCAGAAAGAGTGTCTAAAATATCGTGTCAGTTCTAAGAAGAGGGTAGCTGGTAGCTGTCTTTCATCATAACCTCGTTCAAACGACGATAGTAAACCCAAAGTTCCGTTGAACCAGCTATGTTTCTGATCAGGACAATATATTCAGCAAGTCCTTGGGCCTCTCCTCCTCTCCTATAGGAGAGGCCCAAGGACTTGTTGAAGGCTCGATAACATTGCTCTCTTGCATATTCTTTAGAAGTTTTCTTACCTCTTTCTGTTTAGCAATCGGCGTACGTCTTGGATGTTGCTTGATTGGTGGATGATCCCCGGTATCAGTTCTATGCTATGTCAGACTGCGAGCTCCTAGAGTGTTTCCTTTGGCTTCTGTTGTCGAGATATTAATTGAAGCCTGGTACAGTGTCTTTTAAACGCTTCTCTCCAAAACGCAGCTGCAACGCGCCGGATAGAGCTTCGAAGTCTAGCCTCTGGTTTACGGGCAAAGTTTGGAGGGTATCTGCTGCGTCTACTCTCAGAGAAGCGGCAAGATCGCAGACTTTGGAATCCCATGCATTTGTGTTTGCCACTATAGTGGACTGCATCTTGTACACTTGCCAGGAAGTCTATCCATCGTATTTGAGTAGCTGTAGAAGGGTCGAAACGATATATGTTCATATTTAAAAGGTGTTAGAATTTTGACCAGCAGTCGTTATAGACTTCTTTATACTGCCAACTTCCATGGCGATAGTAACAGAAACTCTTTGTCTTCGATTTGTTGTTCAACAGCAGAAACTGTTTCTTGAAGTTCTCGAACTTTATCTTTAACCGTGTCTATTCTTGCCTTCCACAGAGCCTCGAATTTGTTTTCTATTATGGCAGTAATTTCTCCTTTCATTTCCTCATTCATTTCATTCTCTCTTTCATATCTTCGTTTACAGATGCTTGGCCATATTTTCATCTTTGCTTTTCATCGCCTCTTTAAGGGTTTCTTGTCGCGCTTTCATCACTACTTTAAATGAAGCAAAGGCTACCACGAGCTGCCTTAATTGCTTTCCATTGCTTTTGCTACCGCCCACTTATGACACCACTAATATTCAACCCCACTTGTGAGACCAAAAATTGTAGCGACCGTACGGGTTCGGAATAAAATGATTGCACGCAGAACCAACCGATCATAGCTTATTAAAATTTATTTTACCAAAAGAATCACTTCAGAGTTGTGGACTTTCCACAAAAATAGTCGTACATCTCTTTACAATATCAACAAACACAATCAGTAACACTTCAAACTACTAAAAATGTTAAACACAGTGCAATGTAAAGCACATCTAAAAAGCGAAGCTCTCACGGATATCTCAAGACTCCATAGTCGACTCTGAACTAACAATTGAGAAACTAATGGTCTGTGCGGTCTCGCATAGTTCCCCCCCCCCGCCCGCCGAGGAATATCTGGTACTTTCTGCTTCTGGAAATTTCTAGAAGGCATATGAGGGCCGGATATGGTTACAGCTAAATATAGCAATTAATTACAGTTATAAATGGACCGGACCAAAATGTCTCCAAATTTGGCGACTTCTGGCTTTTTCGCTCTAAATTTGGCGACCAAAATTAGCCGCCAAAACCGTTGCCACATTGGCGATATCTCGCCAAATTATGTTAAATAGACTAGCCCCTGTATTATTATTTTTCCTGCAGAGCATCGTTTCTCTCAAGCTTTTGATGCTACATTATACAGAAAAATGCAACTATTTCACAAAAATTCTCCAAAATTATCCATATACACAAAATTAGTAACTTTTTTTTTTTTTTTTTTTTTTTTTTACCAGAGAATATGCTGTATTACAAGTGTTATTTTTTTTAACTAATAAGTTTTTGTTTTACAAAACCGTGCTTCAAAACATGTTAAATCTTTTAATTTATGAACATTAGCTGAGCATATGCTAAAAATGAAAATTATTTTCTAATTCCCAGTTGTAGTCATTCCAAACATTGATTTTAATTCACGTGAAATTAATTTCCTAGCATGTTATATTATCAATATATTTTATTTTTTTCTTTTTTGATGTATGTGTATATGTACTATATATGCAATGAAACTGGAAGAAACTCATTGTAATAACTTGGCGTTTAACGATACACTGACCAGATGGATGCATAAAACAGAAACTTCCAGAAATGGCTGAATTCAACTTTTTTTTTATTATTCATGGTTGCCATTGATTTTTATTTAATCCAACACACACAAATCAAATCAGCACTACAGCTGAGTACAGTACTTAAAGAACGTTTTACATCAGATAAACTTGAAAAATATGTTTCCAGGCAGCAAGCAGCATGTTGCTACAGCAAAGAGGAAGAGAGATGAACAAAAAGAGGTTAGGTTAGGTTATTTAATTATGGCAAAGCCTCGAGGGCTATCTGCCTAAGGGGAGGGATGCCTTTGTGAAGGATTTTCTAAGGGAAACTGGCTCGTATACACGTTACACATGGGGAAAACCACGAAAACACCCATGCTGCCAACCCGTTCGCGGGATTCGAACCTCAGACCGAACTACCAGAGTTCAGCGACTTTACCGCTCGTCCGCTGGTGGGCTGAACAAAAAGAGAGACTTTTTTATGCCAAGGCATGATTACACTAATGGAATTACATTTTGGGACCACATTACAATAATGTTTACATTAAGCAAATAAATTTAAAGATACGTAACAGATTAATATTCAGATGCTGGGTTAAGATTTAATTGCAGTAGAGATCAGATGACGGGACACTTTTCAGAATTGCAGGAAGTAAAGATAAGAAAAGTTATTGCTTTGCTATTTTTAGGATGAAGAGGGGAGCATGCTCAAATTTAAAAGAGGAGTTAAAGTTCTATTATTAATTTATTATTAGAAAGGTAGATATTTTACATTATATATATATTGTTACGGGTTCGTGGATTTGGGAGTGATTGACGACAACACTTGATGAAGGATCAAAATGCAATTTATTAGCCAGTATTATTCAGGACAGTTCCAAAAACATATTTACAGTTGTTGAAAAACTACGACAAACACGCTGAAACAATCAGCAACACAGCCTTTAGGCTATCAGGCTATAACGGTGAAGACAGCTTTACGGCAAAGCACCAGAGTACAGCTCCCGACTCAGTCGACCAACACACTCAAGATAAAACTCGACGATACACTTGATAGCCTCAACGATGCACACTCTCGATGCCCAACTCGCGATACACTCATGAGACACTCTTGCGATGCAATAACTCGCGATACACTCACGAGACACTCTCGTGATGCAATAACTCGCGATACACTGACCAAATACTTTCGCGATGCAATAACTCTCAATACACTCAACGACCAACTTGATACTAGACTCAGCGGTGCACACTCTCTATGCACTTAACAAACCGCTGACGACACTAAACTGCTATTCCGCGTACAGGCAGGGTTTGTATACTCTTGGTCGAGAACTCTTGGTTCTCGCTTCGAGAACATTCTGGGCCAAACTGATATGAATTCATTCCAGAATGTTCTCCATTTGTCTATGGCATATCGCCCCGTTTTGTCACCAAATGGGCAATTTCGCGCCAAATCTGGCAACCCTTAACCCGCTCCCACCGTGGCTGGGCATTTCGTTACAATATATATATTCTTAACATCAAATAGAATTAATATTAACAGTAGTAAAATGTAAAATACTTTCATACTTCAAAACTCTATAGAATAATCTTTGTTCCTTAAAAGTGAAATATTTTCTTGCAGGTATCACCATACTGCACCTATAAGTTTAATGTATGCATTAAGAGAAGCACTGTCTTTGCTTATAGCTGAAACATTAGAGAAGTGCTGGGAAAGACATAAACTGCATGCTGATATGTTGTATGAGAAACTAGAAGATATGGGGCTAAAATTATTCGTATCGGAAAAGGTAATACCAGAATTGTAATTGTTGTTCTATTAAGAAGGGAAAAAACACATGTCACTAGATTCAATACTGTCCTTGTTACAGGCTCATCGCTTGCCTTCTGTTACGACTGTGTTAATTCCATATGAAGTGGATGGACAGAATGTTATTAAATCCATAAAAAACAGGTAACAATTTTTCTTTTTTATTAATTTTAAAACAAATAATCAATAATATTATATAACTTATAATTTTCAGCTGCTTAGATTGTATATCTTGATTACAATAATTATTGAAAATAACTGTGGTAAAATGTAATTCTCTACCTCTACTTATATGGATGTCTCATATTTTTGTGCTATCGATGACAGAAATATATATCTTTTGCACTGTAACTTTGGCACTGAAAAATTTTCATAATAAAAAATTTATCGAGTTGAAAAATTTTTAAGCATCATTTGAAGGAAATTCACAAGTGTGTAATTTTTTTCTTGCTATTCCTTCCCATTCAATACAGCATTTAAAGAAAATTCAGTATCGATGGTGCTTTTCCTTTACCCTTTCTCAAAACCTTTTCTGAACTCATGCGTGGTTATTCCTGTTCAAAAATGGAGTTTGATTGATCTCTAACAGGTTTTTTCGCTTTAGATTTACCTTTGCAAATTTATTTACGATTTCGACCAAAGTGTTCCTGAAACATTTTCAAAAGTCAAAAATGAATGAGTTTAATTTCATTCAAAAGACAAGTCAAAAAGAAGTCCAAAGGTTCTAATGTATTGAAAAATCTTTAGCAAAACTTGTAAAAATTCTCCCAACTTCTGGTAAAGGTATTTTCTTTGGAAAGAAAAAGTGGTTAAAATAAAGAAAGGTGTCATTATGCCAACATATTACGAATGAGGCATCGATCCTAGAAGTGGAACATAATGCAAAACGTGAAGTTCAGTCGAAAGATCATTATTGCAAAAATTCGTGCTACTAATGTACTAAAGTAACTGCATTATTCTTATCAAAAATTTTCGGAATAGAAATTTCTCTGCTTCATAGAAATTTTAAAAAAGGAGAGTGAATTACTTGTATCAAAGTGGTGAAACTACAAGTACTGAAAAATATTTTGTTGAACAATGTGTAGGGTATTTCTTCCGCTTTCCTAGCGTGCCTTCGTGCTGTAGTGGTTCTGCACGCTGGCCCGGTATTCCAGAGGTTCGTGGATCGATTCCTGGCGAAGGCGGTTGCTAATTTTTCATCTTGTATTCTTAAAAAAATACCTAATGTCTGGTCCGCCTAATTCTAAATGGACTGTAACTCTTAATTAAACTAATTAACAAACTACTCTGTAATATATCATTATCTTTATTTTAATAATTTGTGAAAGGCACTCAGGCTTCCACACTGACTCTGCTTCGCCATTGAAGCAAACTCCCCAACTAATTAACATTCTTTTTGTAAAGTAACGATCGCAGCGCCATCTGGCTTCAGAGGGACGTAACACTCCCCCGGATTGAAATTACAAAATTTCAAGAAATTATATAAACATTCTTAAAAAAATTAATATACTTATAAACAAAATAATACTATTACTATAACTACAGCTATTACAATACTAGAACAAATACAATACATATGCAAAAATATCATTTCAGTTTTCTATCGGAAGAATGGCGATCTTTGTGATTGCTCTTTTTAATTCTCCTGATTTTGTTTAGATTTTAACAGTTCTTACTTTATTGTCAGATCCATGATAGACTTTAATAACCCGACCTAAAATCCATTTGCAAATTGGCAGATAATCCTCCTTGACGAGTACCATAGTACCAACAGAAATATTGTCTCTCTCTATCATCCACTTGTTTCTCTGCTGCAGAGTTCCTAAATAGTCATTTTACCATTTCTTCCAAATAATGTGAACTACTTTCATTGTTCTCTGCCACCGGCTTAACCGATTTTTATTTACGCCTATTATCATTGGCTCCGGAATCGCCTGTATTGATCTCCCTATTAAGAAATGACCTTTGGTCAAAGCGTCATAACAATCAGAATCATTGGAAATAGGTGTAAGAGGTCTCGAATTTAGTATTACCTCTACCTGCACAATTATAGTTTCAAACTCCTCATATGTAAAACGCAAATTTCCTATCATTCTCTTTAAGTGATATTTTACGGAATTTACACCGGCTTCCCATAGCCCTCCAAAATGAGGGGACTTGGGAGGTATAAAGTTCTAGTCTATTCTTTCGGACGTGAAATATGAGGCCAAAGTTTTGTCAGGAAAATTAATTACATTGTAGAATTTCTTCAACAGAGAATTTGCTCCTACAACTTTAGGGGCATTATCAGTGAATATTTTCGCACATTTGCCACGTCTGGCCATGAAACGCTTAAGAGTGGCAATTAAAGCACTAGAAGTTAAATCTGACAAAGGCTCAAGATGAATAGCTCGTGTCACAAAACATATACATAGACAAATGTGAATTTTATTTAGCATACCCTTTCTCTGATGTTTGTAAGTTACAGAAAAGGGACCCCATAGATCCAAACCTGAAACACTAAATGGGAGTGATCTATTAACTCTCTCATATGGTAAATTACCCATAATCTGTGAAGACAAAATCAGTTTGCATTTAAAGCATGTAATACGAAGATGTACTGTTTTTCGCGCCAAATCTCTACCACCTAATGGCCAAAATCTTAAACGTACTGCATTCAATAATCCTTGAGGGCCAACATGCAAATCTGTGCACACTAGAAAAATAAATCTTACTTAGCTTAGAATTTTTTGGTAGTATTGCAGGATATTTCTGAGAAAATGGTAAGGAAGCTTTTTCAAGACGGCCACCAACACAAATTATTCCTTTACGATCAACAAAGGGATGTAAATTTTTTAAGTTACCTGTTATGTCCTTTTTACAAAATAGAACCCTCTGCTCATGCTTAATAACCGTTTCTTCAGCTATTCTTACCTCCTCTAGTTGAAGAAGACGTACCTTTCTTGATCCACCTTTCCTGCAATTACAAATAAACCTAAAAATATAAGAAAGAATAATCATTTTATAATAATTGTTACTGATATTCAAGAGTTCGTCTAAAATGTTAGCGTTCATGTCAATCAACATAGTTCTCTCAGAAATGTCATTAATGTCACTAGAACTTTTGCTTTCTTGCACAAAGGATTCCCTTTCACTCTGGAACTATTGGTTGTAAACACTTGTAGGGAAGATGCGGCTCTGTCAAAAATTCTGCACAAGTCCACCACTTAAAATTGTTCACTAGAGAAGAGGCACTAACTCCACTCGTTAGAATATCGGCTGGATTGTCCTTTGTCCTTGGTTGAACAATAAAACCATGAATCTGGATTAGTCAACTTCTGAATCTCGTCAACGCGATTTTGAACGAAAGACTTCCATCTTCTACTTGATCCTTTAATACAATACAGTGTGACTTTAGAATCACTCCAAAAAAAGATATTAGATGAACCTTTACGATCTAGAACATTTTTTAACTTCCGTTCCCAATCTTGCAGCAATCAGTGCTGCACCCAGCAATTCAAGTCCGAGGCAAGGAAACGTTTTTTACAGGTGAAACTCTGCTCATGGAAACCAGCAAATTCGCAGAAATTTTTTCTTGATTCTGTACTTTTATGTAAACGGCTGCACCATACGACTTTTGGCTTGCGTCAGAAAAAAAACATGGATCTCTATAGTTTTCATCACATGAATCCAAAACAAATCTTGGAACACTAATGTTACTGAAGCTTCTGAAAGCTCGCTGCACCACCGAGACCACTTCGTAGTTCAAATCAGAAGGAAGCTCAGCAATCTCCATGGTAATTTACGTAACCATAGCTTTTTGTAGGCAAAAGTTTTATTCTAACAGTGAATTGGTGTGATGAGTCCAAGGGGATCATATATTTTTCCAGCTGTTTGGAGGATGAAGCGTTTGGTACTTTTCTTTCTCCTTGAAATTTCAGTCAAACAAGAAGTCTCTATACTCAAACTATCTTCCTGAATGTTCCATTGCATTTCTAATACTTTGAGTATCTTTTCGTTTGAGCTTAGTGGATGAATGTCAAAATTTTCTTCTTCTCATTTTTTAGCTAAATGATAATCATTCGTCACCCATTTGCGTAGATTCATCCCAGCTCCACTCATAATTTCCTTTGCTTCCCTTGAAATTTTTAAGGCTTCTGATACATCATATGCTTCTGTAACAAGATCATCAACATACATACATGTATCAAGAATTTGAAAGGATCGGGATACGCGTTTCTATACTTTTGGATATGCAGCTTTATAGTTGCCGCTAACAAAAAGGGACTGGAATTAACACCAAAGAGCACACGTTTAAATCTATACACCTCTAACTGATCCTCGATATTCTGCAAAAGTATATCAATATTGTTAACAAATAAAAATCTAACTGCATCTCGATTCTTCTCAGATAACACGATCTGTAAAAATGCCTTTTCGATATCTCCTAAGATTGCAACTATTAAGTCTAAAATATATCAGCAAGAGAAATATATTTTGATTCAAATTAATACCAGGCCGCAAACAATCATTCAGGGACAGACTACGTATTTCATGTGAGTTCGCATCAAATACAATACACATTTTTGTCGTAATGCTTTCTTCTCTATAAACTGCCTGATGCGGCATATAAAAACCTGGCTTCTTTATTGGTTTCGTGGAATCTAATACTCTTTCTATTATCCCTTGATTTAGGTACTCTTCTAAAGTTTCTCTATATCTTAGGTATAATGCATTTTATCATGCTGCATTTTCCTCATCAGGATCTTTATTCTTTTTTCTGCAACTTCAAAATTGTCGCCTAGATGTTCCCAACTTTTCTTCCAAGGCAGGCTAACAATATACCGACCATCTTTGAAACTAGCAGTTTTGTTGAATATCTCTAATGCTTTATCTTCATCGTAAGAAATGGGATCATCTCTGATACCAATTGATTCCAAATCAAAAAGCTTCTTCAACTGTGCTTCGGCATTGACATAAATTAACTCACAATGCATTAATTGTTTCTCGTGTGGTAAATCTTCAATGCTCCCGCTCACTAAATACCCAAATGCTGAGTTTTGTAAAACTAAATTTGTATTTGGTACATAAATTTGCCCGCATCTTATCAAATCGAAAAATATTTCAGATCCTAGAAGTGACTGAATTTTACCCGGTTTGTGAAAGTCTGGATCAGCTAACGTAACTCCTTGCGGAATCTCAATGTTACAGACATAAATTTGTCTAGAAGACATTAAATGAGTAATTTTTGGAATTACGTAAAACTCTAGTTTAAGACTGTACGTGTTTTCTCTATTTAAAATAACCGCACTTATTTTTGATTTCACCGTTGTTGAAATCCCAGATAAACATCCTAATGATACGTTTACATTTTCTCTTTGCAAATGAAGCTTCTCAGCTAATTCCGATGAACAAAGATGAATGATACTTCCACTGCCAAGCAAAGTTCTGGCTGGAAATATTTCTCCTTCATTTCCCTTAATATAAACAATCGCTGTCGATAGTAGGACTCTGTTGACTGCATTAAAATTTTTATTTACATTAGCTGTCATAAAAACTCGTTATCCTTATTTATAAATGGCTTCGCGTGAGCGTTCAGTTTCGCTACTTCCGTAGACGAACTGGCGTCTGTTGACTTTTGATCCGACAGAGATGCGATTTCGCAACTGTCTCTTTTTTTTTTTTTTTTTTTTTTTGGAAATTGAAACTTTTTCTCGCTCATAACACAGTAACGAATTGTGATTTTTTCTGCATAGCTTACAAGAGTAATTTGAAGGGCAATTTCTCACTCCATGATTTCCAAAACAGCAGAAACATAAGTTGTGCTTTTTAACATAATCGACTCTATCTTTTAAGCTTAATTTTTTTTTAAATTTTTTTAAATTTAGGACATTTAAATAATTTATGTTCCACATTACACAGTTTACAAATAAATGTGACGTTTCTCAATCACACATGAAACTAGTGAAGAAACCTTTGGCTGGCTTCGTTTAGACATTACTGGTATTCTAGAAGCGTTTAATGTTCTCGCGTGATCCTTTAGAAATTCTAATAACTCTGTGATGTTCGGTATTTTTTCTTTCTTTAAATTCCTTTCCCTCCATAACTTAGTATTCTGATCAAGTTTCTGACTAAGAATAAATAGAATATCGTAACTATTTATGTGCCAGAAACATTTTGATTTGATATTGATAACAATACTTACATTTTATGAATTTTTAAGAAAGATTTTTCACAAGATTGCAAGAATTTCGTATGTGAACTTTCAGACACCTCAAGAACTTTACAAATTTATATTTTAGAGACTTTCAAACTGGACTCTGAATTTAATTTACGGTATTATAATTTGTTCTATTATTTCTAAATTACTTCGTGAAGCCATTAATTTGTTTTCTCATTGAAGTTGTAAATGTTGTATAATATACATGGAATGTCGAACAGCTATTCAGTGCAACGTTTCAGCGATTTATTCGATTGCATTAAACCTTTCGACGGTTCTTCTGATAATTTAATAGAATCTTTTTTAAATGGCCTAGAAGAATTATTTTAACTGAATAGAATTACGAACAATGTTCACAAAATACGAAATTTACAAAAAAATATTTATCGGGCTCGCTAAAACATTCGTAATGTCAATGTCGCCAAATTCCGAGTGTACCGCAATGCTAGGATTAAACTAAGCATTTTTGAATGCACGAGAAAAACGTAAAAACATAACAAACAATTCATCAGAATTTTTGTAGGTAATGAATTTCGTATTTTTGTTCAGACATTAAAAATGCATGGATATGCATCGTCTTTTAACATTGGACGTTTTCTCAGAATTCTTAAAATCGCTCCATTTTTATCCGTGTATACATCTTCGCGAAAATTGTACTTTTTGCTCTGTAAAATGTTTCATATTATGTCAGCATATTAATTCAAATAAATTTGTCCTTACTTCAAAACTAATAAATAAAGTCATATTTTAGCAGTGAAATAATTGCTAACATGTGATGTGCATTGATTTCGGAAATATAATTTTTTTTAAAATATATAAAATGCATAACTACTTATAGAACATAAAATGCATAACTACTTATAGAACATAAAATTCAACTTACTTTATAGATTAGTTTCATTTTTAAATATTTTGCTATAATATTTATAAAAAAATATTTTAAGTATGAATTATTTTTTAAAATTTTAAACAATAATTCAGCACGTATTTTTAGTACTAATTAAATTTAATAATTCAAGTATATATATTAAATTTATTATTTCATTAGATGAATCTACCTTAGATTAATATATTTAGATGAAATAAAGTAATGAAACATTGCAGAATAAATCTTTAGCGGACTTCAGATTCTTGAAAGGGCAGATTTAGTCTCTTTTCATTCTAAAAGTAACGCTGATGAACTATGAAAAAGATGCTAAAACGACCACGTCTAAAAGCGGTCATATCATGACGTTTCAACGAGTCGACAAATTGCCAAGATGCAACGGTAAATATTTTGCGTCTTCGCAACGTCGTAAAGACGTCGTAAAACTTTGCGACGTCACTACCACTTTGCAACCTCTCGGACCAGTTTGCAACGTCGTGTGCTACTTGGGGGGTCTTTTAAACACTTCTCTCCAAAACGCAGCTGCAACGCGCCGCATAGAGCTTCGAAGTCTAGCCTGTGGTTTGGGGCAGTTTGGAGGGTATCTGCTGCGTCTGCTCTCAGAGAAGTGGCAAGATTGCAGGCTTTGAAATCCCATCCATTTGCGTTTGCCACTATAGTGGACTGCGTCTTGTACACTTGCCAGGAAGTCCTTTCCATCGTATTTGAGTAGCTGTAGAAGGGTCGAGACGATATATGTTCATATTTAAAAGGTGTTAGAATTGTGACCAGCTGTCGTTATAGACTTCTTTAAACTGTCAACCTCCATGGCAACAGTAAAAGAAACTCTTGTCTTCGATTTGTTGTTCAACAGCAGAAACTCTTTCTTGAAGTTCTCGAACTTTATCTTCAAACGTGTCTATTCTGCCTTTATTGTAATATTGTATAAAATTTCCCTTCTATTACTAATGCTTTTTTCTTCGAAGGCTTTTCTGTGGCCAAGCCTTTTTCTCTTTGAAGGGGGGGGGAGTATGTAAGATATAAAAATATGACGGAAATGTATTAATGAATTAAACTTAATTGGAAGAAATCGACTATAGATCTTTAAATTACTAATTTTCAATTAAAGTACACCCTCTCCAAGGCATCTGCACGTTCTCTGCAGTAATTGCAATGTGAAAACTCTTGCCCAATCTCTGTGCAAGATTAAAACAAAGCACTCTGAGGTTATAAATACTACTGCAGTGCTCTCTCTTTTGCTGCCTATGCTTGCCAGCTGACGGTCGTCTCTTGCTTAGTTGCTTCTATTCATTATTAAAAATATAATGTGCCATAGTTATAATTATGAAGTGCAGATTGTTCCCATTCTGCTGTGCCATGCCATAGAATAATCATCAGATAATAAAGATATATTTGAATTATCAAGTAATTTTGTAATACTTCAAAAATTCCAAACATCTTCTACTACACAATCGATATTTCAGTGATCTTCTAACTTCAATCAACTCACGACTGCAAAATAATTGTTATCTTCTCTAATCAAACACTCATCAAGTTATTTGCATGAAGTAAATTTATCATCACATATTTATGCATTGAACTAACTGTATTTCATTTTGGTTTGAGGTGTTCATCGTTTTTCATATTACATTTGTAATACTTTTCTCTTTCAAATTAGATTCAGAATAGACATAGCAGGAGGTCTTGGATCAACCAGCGGTAAAGTATGGCGAATTGGTTTAATGGGATACAATTGTAATGCAAATAATGTAATGACTATTGCAAAGTCATTGCAAGAGTGTATAAATAATAGCAAATTAAAGAGCTCATTATAGTGTAATATATGATTAGTAAATTACTTATGTAACGTTATAAATTTAAAACACAGTTTTCCTGAAAAAATAATATATAATTGCTAAGAAGTACACTTTTATACCCTTAAATTCTATATGAAGTGATAATTTGAAGATAATGTATTTTGTAGAATTCAGAGAGCTTAAGCAATTATTTTTGATAAATTTTTATTATGTCTTGTAAATTATTGTACAATAAATGTTGCTTATATTTTTTATTTGTTCTAACACTGAGCTTAATAAATGACAGATATTTAAGTGTAGTATGTAGTGTATACTAAGTAATTAGGTTGTGCAATATGCACAAAATGTTTGCAGTTAAAAAAGCATCAGAAACATTTATTAACATTTATATGAGGCTAAATTTAATTCTCAACTAGTACTAATTTAACTGCTATCTGAAAAATAATAGAACTCCAGCATTCAGTTTAATTTATTTAGCTTCATCAGTTGTGAAGGTTAAAGTATTACAATGCAATCATTCGATACTAAAAGTATTACAATCAATTACATTCAAAGTTATCATTCGATACTAAAAGTATTAGAATGAATTACATCCAAAGTTATCATTCGATACTGAAAGTATTACAATGAATTTCGTTCAGTTATCATTCGCCTGTACCTTGAGCTGAACACGAAACTGTCATTTAAAGATCTTGTAAGTATGTAAAATCTATCTCTCTTTGTCCTTATACACTAACTTAGATCCTACAATTAATCTGGTGAATTCTCGCACAGGCGTGAATTAAATACCAGCACAGAAGACGGGTGCAAAAATAACCCTTTATTAACTAAAACTAAATTAACAGAAAGCACGGACTTCGTGCGTTACAAAACACCGTTCAATTGCGGCGATAACTAAACGTAGACTGGAATACAAATCAAAATCTGAAAATAAACGTGTGCAAGAATGCACTTCAAAATTACTCCTAAAAGATGGACTGACAGAAATCTAACCGGCGTGATACTAAACAGATATGGCCAAGCGGTTTACTAGCGTGACCGCGAAATCACAACGAAACGTGCGCTAAGCTAGCGAAACACGCTCCGAATAAACTGAGATAATCACACGTTTAAATAGCACTTCACTTAACTTTAAATTTACAACCTGGCGAGAAAATGTGAGGGGAAGTTTGAGAAATTGAGAACAGGAAAACTTAAAATAAATTTGTTATGCAAATTAAGAAAAACTCTACAATTTCCCTCGCCAGAACCTTAACTATCGCATAACAAGGCTTTAAAAGCCTGGATAAGATAGCTAAATTCTAAATCTACATGCGAGTTCACCTTTGCAATCTTAATCTATATCTTAACTAAATTTAAACATTTTTACAGATGGAGAAATGTGGCACATAATTACAATATCTTCTCTCTTTAGCTGTTGCGCCATCCTTTGCCCACCGTAAGAGGGCGCTGTATAATCTTCCTAGTTTTTTTGTATCATAGTATATGTATAGTGAGTAGGAATAATTGTCTTGTTTGGAATGGCGGCGTCGATTTTTTAATGAGTGTGGAGTCCAATTTCCGCTCCTCTTCACGAAAGAAGGTAACTTTTTTTTTTTTTTTTTGGTCAGAAGTGGGGTTAGGTGAGAATGTGGTGGTAATAATGTGTATCATCAAATTTTGTGTGAAAAAAATAGTGTGGTGATATGGGAATATGTGTTGCGCGGAAATCGAAAGTGAAGATGTTCCATTGTGTAGATTATGGTGAGTAGTTATTTCGGTTTATTGTAATAATGTTTAGTGTTAAATTCTGTTTATTAGTGTTGTGTATTGAGGTGTTCCTACTTGATAATTTGAGTTGATAGTGTCTGTGTTGAGTTTGATTGTGTTTGTTTTTGTGCTCATTGTGTTCTAGTTGTCACTTCAGGGTTGTTGTATTTTTCTTTGAATTAAGATGAGTTTGAAGTCGGAAGTCATTAAAAAAAGACGAATTGATGCTCATGGCGGAGGAGTTGGGATTAGTAATTCCGAGCGGGGCGAAAATTGTTACTTTGAAAACTTTAATAGAAAGCTCAGAAGTTTATGCAAATGATGCTGAATTTTGTGCAAAATGTTATTGATAATATTCTAGAGGAAGAGAAAATACAAATTGAAAAAGAAAAATCGGAAAACTATATTAGATTAGAGAAAATAAAACTTTCTCAGTTAGAGGCGGATTTAGCTTTAGCTAACACAAAGAAAGACTTGCTACAAAATCCAAATGTTGAGACGCATAACTCAAATCGAAATATGGAAAATTTAATTAAAAGTGTAAAAACATTAACAATTTCTGTACCTACTAAAGCAGAATCCTTTAATCTCTTTTTCCAATCAATTGAAAGGGCTTTTAGGACAAAACAAGTACCTGAAGATCTAAAAGCAAAAATCCTATTAAATATTTTGGGGAGAGGTCACTAATTTAATGGTATATGTGAAGGAAGAAGATATTAATAATTACGATAAACTAAAGTCCATGATTTTAAAGGAATTTCAACCAACCCCTCAAGAGTGCTTAAATCATTTTCTTTCTACGCAAAAACTGTCATCTGAGAACTTTGTACAGTTTGCATCAAGGTTAACTGCAAATTTTGAATATTATTGTCAGTTGAGAAATGTAAAAGATTTAAAATTGTTATGTGATCTTAAGGTTTCGGATAAAATATTCAGTGAGCTTGAAGACCCATATAGCAGTTAAACAGGGAGAGATCTGGTTCGAACCCCAAACTTTAGGTCGTGAATGCGGTATTTATTTGTCATCAAAAGGTAAACAGAATTCCTTTCTGCAAAATCATTTATAGGTAACGATAATAAAAGAAGTGATGGAAATAATGTTAATAAACTTCGTAATTATAATTACAAAAATATTTCTAATGTATATGTATCTGGAGCAAAAGATCCAAACATGTATTTTGTGTAAAACTAATCCAAACCACTCGATATAAAATTGTCCTAATTTTAAAAGGCTATCAGTAATTGAGCGTGTTGAAATTATTAAGCAAAATAACCTTTGTTTTAAATTTTTTTCTTCGGAATGTAATGCAAAAATGTGTAGAGCCAGAATTGCCGGAAGACTTAAGCAAAAGTGGATAACGTGGTGTAACGAAATTGAAAAATTAATAGACGTTACTATTCCGAGATATTGTTTTCTGGATTGTAAGAATGAGCAATCGGAAGGGCGTGTGTTTCACCAAGTGCTTACAGAACTGTTGTTTATTTTAAATGTTGTGAGAATAATGGGAATTACACAGTATCTTTATAATGTCGAAGAGTAGAGTGTCACCGTGCTAGAGTGGGGAATTACCTTAAGAGTGTTTTCAAGGATAAAATTGGAAGAATAGTGTTTTGGAGTGATTCTTGTATTACGTTGCATAGGATGAAGGGAAGTGCAAAGAGATGGAAAGTTTGTTGCCAACCGGGTTGTGGAAATTCAGGAAAGATAGAGTCCAAGCAATTGGTACTATTGTCCGTCTGACGATAATCCCGCAGATTTGCTTACTAAAGGAATCTCGGCTGTTCTGTTTCCATATCGGCATCTAAATGTATAAACACCGATACCGAAACAGAAACTTGTGAAGCCGTAAATAAATAACTATCAACATGAAAATAAACTCTTATGGCTAGTTAATTTCAACATTTTTAGTGATAGTACAAGTGAAAATATAGGCATTGCGTTGTGGAAATGCATCCGGGACCGTGCCGTGGGAGGATCGAATAAACAAGAGGTAAATGCAATATACATATAAGAAAACACATAGTAAATAGATATAAAGAAAACATAAGGAAATAGGTTTCCAGATTAAAATACAAGTTTATTCAAATTCCTCAACAATAAAAATTAAATTTCACATCCTAGATAATCGATACTCAATTTTCTTATTTCAGTTACACATGCGAACTAATCAATTTATATCATTTACACAATTAAATCAAAGATTTGCGAATCTACTTTATGACGCATTTAATTTAACTTGAACTACAGCTGTAATTTGTAAGATGGAAAAAAAAAAAATTATCTGAAATTCAACATCTATTCTAAGGACGATTTCACAAAACAAACTATATTTTTATACCATAATTAACTTATTAAGATTGTCATATATGTCTCAGAAAAGAAAGAAGAGGAAGTGGAGACAATTTCCAGCCATTTAGAATTATTTAAAGATTCAATTTTAGTTTTAAAATTCCAAGGAAGTTTCTGGAACTTTACTTAAAATTCAAAGGAATAAATCAAACACAGAAAAAGGACTTATCTTAGGTAGACATCTTGGAAGTGGAGGAGAACTCGTATCCTAATTGTATGCTTTCGACGAACGGCACTGCCCCTCGGTTACAAGTCGAAGTTCAGAGGACATCGTCCTGTCCTGGCATAGTTCATTCTCGCTTTTTGGCGAAACACGCGGCCGGGTAACTGGTTTCCATAGACGAAAATTTTTCACTCTGGAAGGCAAGAGAACCGCTTGCCCAGCACGGCTGTCGGCATAGACTCTCAGCTTCACAAGGAAAATCGTAGACTATGAAGCCTAGGTATTTTTAGAGAACGGCTGTGGCAGATTTTTCATCAGTCCAAGCTAACCCAATTCCTTCCGTTTTAAAATCGAAGTTCAGAGGACATCGTCCTGGGTTTTGCCGATACATATATAGAGCAAAGTCTCTTTTCTTAATTTTTATTTATTTATTTATTTATTTTTTATTCACTCAACAGTTTTTATTTTCTTTCTCCCTCGCATTTTTGCGAAACCCGCGGCCGGGGAGCATAATTGCCGCTCCCTGCCGGAAGCACTACTCGATGACAAACTACATCTTTTTCTCCTTTCTACCGCTCATTTCAAGAGCAAGTTCGAAGTCCAAGTCTTAGTAAAAAAGTCAGTCCAAAAGTGATTCAAACTCGAATTTTCCTCGTCTCCTTCACAAACATGGGCTCCCACAATGACTTCATTTATAGCCCCCTTAATTTGGACAAAATTTGCGTTTCTTCCCCCGAATGACAGAACTAAGGTGATCACACATGCGCGCCCCTCTT